TTTTTTTTGAGAGGTTTTTGCTATAGGGTACATGCACTCACCACAAAGACAGAGAGAGACAGAAAGCGAGAAATCACTCCCCAGAAGGTACGGCCATGCTGCAATCCCTTCTCTTCTCGGGATCTTGAGCATGCACATACATGCACCTGGCATGAGTTTAAGCCACCAGGTCTGGGACTTGAACCACGGCCAATTATATGGAGTCCAGCAACATAGCCATTACGCCAACTGCTGGTCCCAGGGATGTATTTAATTAAAGTTGTGCAAAGAGTATGAGGAGTTTAACAGTATGATATTTAATAGTCACTTTAAAGGAGATCTGGAGGGCCAGTCGGTGGCATGGTGGTTAAGGTGGCTTGACCCCATGTGGCCGAATGTGTGGTTCAAATCCCAGACCCAGCAGCTTGAAAAACATGCCAGGCATGTGTGTATGCGTGCCTAAAATCCTGAGAGGAAAATGGAGGAGAAGGGATTGTGTCATGGCTGTTCCCCTTGGGGGGTACTTTCTAAATCTCCCTCTCTCTGTTTCTCTTCAGTGAGCACATGAGCCCTGTAGCAAAATTTTAAAAAAAAGGAGAGAGTGATCTGGCAGTTCCATGCCAATGTGCCTGCACACACACTCTTCCTTCTTTCTCAAACTCATTAAAATGATAGTAAATAGTAAAGAGACCAAAACAAGAAGGAAAGGACACTTCCAGGTTGAGAACAGGAAAGGATGGCACCAAGATTTTGGAAGCTGGAGAGCACGAGTGAGCACTAACTAATTCAGCAGACCTGAGACACTTGAGTTGGAAGCTGGCCGCTGGACAAGCTGAGGACTGGCCTCAGGAGGCAGGGGATTGACAGTCCCGTCACCTGCGCAACGGAGGATGGGACAAAAATAGGATCGCACCACCGAGCAGTTGCCCTTCGCCACTGCAACAGTAGTCTGAAGGTCAGTTCTGACAGGGTGTGTCTCACAGTTGAGAACTGTACTGAAAACCAGAAGATCGGATATGCGTACAGATAGTCGTCAGAGGCCTCCCAGGAAGGAAACTGGGCAAGGACTTAAAATTGCCTTTGGTCATTCCAGTAAAGCAAGAAGAACCCCTGCAGGTTCTCTCCAACGAAATACCACTTATGTGCCCAAAGCTTCCTGTCTGCTTCCAGCTCCACTCCTCACATGTAACCCTTCATTACCTGACTTCTGAGAAGGGTTTTCAACATGGAATAGAAACCTAAACAGGGACCAGCAGTTGGCGTGATGGTTATGTCGCTGGACTCCCATGTAGTCGACCGCGGTTTGAGTCCCAGACCTGGTGACTTAAACTCACACTGGGCGCATGTGCGTGCGTGCCCAAGATCCCAAGAGGAGAATGGAGAAGGGATTGCAGCGTGGCCATCCCCCGGGGGGGTGGGGGTGATTTCTCGCTTTCTGTCTGTCTGTCTGTCTTCTTTTTGGCGAATACACACACTCTATAGCAAAAACCTCCAAAAAAAAAAAAAAAAACCTAAACAAACAAAAAGTAACTGAAGGAAGCAGATTTCAGGGAGAAACTCTCCCACCACCAGAAAAAAAAAAAAAAAAGTATCCTGGGGCCAGCAGATGGAGTGATGGTTATTTGGCTGGACTCCCACATGCATGACTGTGGTTCAAGTCCTGGACTTGGTGGCTTGAAAATCACGTTGGGCCTGTGTGTGTGCATGCTCAAGATCCCAGGAGGATAATGGAGGAGAAGGGATGGTTACATGGCCATCCTCCCTGGAGAATTTCTCACTTTCTGTCTGACTGTCTCTCTCTCTCTCTAGAGAGTGCATGTATCCTATGGCAAAAACCTCTAAAAAGGAAATAAAAACTAACTACCGGTCTCAGAGGGGTAAGATACAAAGAGTCTTCAAAAGATTCACGGAATGTGCACATTATGAAAAAATTATGCATGTATTTCTAAAAATTGTTGTACCAAAATAAACTTGTACTTCCCTTTTTAAAACAAAAACAAAAACCCCAAAAAACTGCCAGAATGTATCACTTACTAGAGAGAGGAAGAAAGCACCCCGGTGGGGTATGGTCATACTGCAGTCCCTTCTCAATTTCTCCATCCTGTTGGGATTAGTGTGCTCAGCACGTTTATCAAGCCACCAAGTTTGGGATCTGAACTACAGTTGGCCATGTGGGATCTGGCTCCTTTAGCCACTAGGCTACGGTTAATACGCTTTAATAACATTTTCCCACAAGCTTTTTGAAGTCCCCCCCCCCATTGTATCCATGAAACAAAAGGAGACTATGGAAAAAGAACAGGGTAAACAAGAACTCTTGGGAATTAAAAACAAGATAGCAGAAATGAACAACTCAACAGGATGATTGGATGATAAAGAAGAAATCTCTTAGGGTGCTGCAGGTGGCATGGTGGTTAAGGCACACTGGATCCTAAAACGCTGATTTTGCAGTTCAGGTTCTGGACCCAGCAGCTTGAAAATCATGCTGGTATGTATGTGTGAGTACTCAAAATCCTGAGAGGAGAATGGAGAAGGGATTGCAGCATGACCATCCCTTCTGGGGGGAAGGTGATTTCTCACTTTCTCTCTCTGGTGAGTGCATGAGCCAATGGCAAAAACCTAAAAAATAAAATAAATAAAGATATCGAGGCCAGCAGGTGGTGTGGTGGTTAAAGCACTGGACACTCTCGAAGTCCCAGACCTGCTGGCTTGCTTTCTCACTTTTCCTCTATTTATCTGTCTTTCTCTGATGAGCACGTGTTGTCCTATAGCAAACTTAAATTAATTTATTAAATAAATAATATTTTTAAAAAGAGAAATAAATTAATTCAAAAAAGAAATATGCCCAAACTGAAGGACAAGAAGATCCAGAAAGAAAGGACCCACACCAGTATCCAACCTAATGAATGGAAGTAGCCCCTCACCAACATGACAGTCCAGAGCACTGGGAACAAAGAAGATTCTACATGCTTCCAAAAAGAATAAGATCACATTAGGAATAGGAATGCCTTCATTCTTCCCTCAGGACAACCTTGGAAGCTGGAGGACAAAAAAAGCAGTGCCTTCAAAGGAGAGTCCTCGTTCTAAAACTTCTAATCTAGAATTTGTGGTCCAGTGAGCACATTTTGTAAATATCTGTCACCTGGTCTACCCAGATGCCCAGGCTGGACCCTCATGACTTGGCCCTCTGACGTCCCTAAAAGGGGTTGTTCTGAATGTGTGGTGCCTTTCCCAGGTACGTTCTGAAATGTCTCAGTAGCCATGCGGCACTTCCTGGCCTCACCTGGGCTCCAGCCGCTCCTTCACCTTGGCAATGGAGCGGACGTAGGGCGTGATCTGCTTGGTGATGGTGGTCAGGTAGGCATTCTCCTGCTTCAGCTGGAGAAGGTCATGGAGCTGGGCTGTGGGGGCCAAGGCCAGAGTGTTGGTTCTCACTGGCTTCAAAGTCTTATCCTCAAGCCTGGCATCATCTAAATATCCCCACTGCTTCAATGATTCCCTCTACGAAAGAGCGAGGCACCTGATGAGGGCATTCTACTCGCAGAATTCTGACCTCAGATGCATCGTGTGGGGTTAGTTACAACCGTGAGGCAAAGCCAAGTGCTAAGGGGAAGAGTGTGGGAATTCATATCTAGTAGCTGGCTCGGATTTTCTTTCCCTGCTAGCCTAGGGGTTGGCTCCAGGACAGGGGGAATCACTCAGCAGCTGCCTGGAACCTTCATAAATCTCCTGCTCGTTAGCCACTCGCTGATAGGATTCCTCCCACATCTGAAAGAGAAAAGTTGGATGTCGGATATGGCGATGAGTTGGAATCTCCACTGGTGGCATTTCTGTCTAGCTACTGGGATACAGAACCTGCAGCCAGGTTCCAGAACCTGCCACATGAGGCATCTCATGGGGTACCTGACCAGGTCTCCCCGTTTCTGTCTTGGGGTAGTCCATGTGTCTCTGGATAAGCAGGGTTGGAGCTAGGTTCCTGGGAGTGGGAGAGACACTACCTCCTCGAAGATGGCTCTCATGGCCTCTGTGGAGGCATACTCCAAGGCCATCTGAGCGTCCAGCTGCAGGGACTTGTGTAGGATGTCTCCCATGATCTCAGCCTTGATGAGTGAGTGGTGCTTGGTGAGGTCCCGGTGCAACTCCTGTACCTGGTCCTTCAGGTTCTGTATTTCTCCCTGCAGGTGCTGCAGGGAGAGACCAAGTGAGGCACATATGGAGGTTACTGCAGGGCCTTGGTGGAGGGATGGCTTCCACACTGCACGGCCAGGACAACTCAATTTTCCCATCACTGTACTTTGGTGAGGAATAGAGAGTTGTTGCCACCCTGAATGCCCCTGGCACCCCTCACCTGGTAGGAATCCTCGTAATGGCGGCAGTGCTCTGTGAAGGGTGTGTCCTTGCCCTCTGCTAGCAGCACCTTGGTGCTGATGGACCGGTGTAGTGTAGGCTTCTGGACTGGAGATCCTGACATCTTTCCCACTGGGGAAGGGCAGCTTGGCCCTATCAGTACCCTGGGGCCTGAACCCCCTGCCAGCCTGGGGAGAGAGCCAGCGTAGATGGAGATGGGGCAGGGAGGGTCTTCCTGTCCTCTGACCTCTCAGGCTCACCCCCTTGGCTGCTGTGTCTCACAGCCCCCTCGACTCCAGCCCATGGCAGAGCCTCCTGGAGGTCTGAGAAAGCCTGGTGCATGGCCATACCCAGTGACATAGCATGGGTGTTTTGTTTTCTAGTTTCCTATAGGGCGTGTGCTCGCTAGGATGGGGAGCGGGATGGTCACACCACAATCTCTTCTCTCCATTCTTTTCAGGATTTGGGCGTACGTGCCCAGTGGGTTTTTTAAGCCATCAGATTTGAAACTGGAAACACACAGTCAGCCATGTGGGATCCAGTGTCTTAACCTCCAGTTCCACGTGAGTGTCTTTTTTTTTTTTAAAAGAGGTTTTTCCCTTAGGACATGTGCACTCAGCAGGGAGAGAGAGACAATCAGACACAATGAGAAGGAAAGTGAGAAATCACTGCCCGGGGGGATGGCCACACCACAATCCCTTCCTCCTCCATTCTCCACCCAGGATCTGGGGCATGTAGGCACATGCACCTGGTATGAGTTTCAAGCCATCGGGTCCAGGACTCAAACCGTGGTCAGCTACATGGGAGTCCAGTGACGTAACCACTACGCCGTCTGCTGATCCCAATACATTTTTTTTTAAAGAATTATTTTATTTGGGGCTAGCAGGTGGCATGATGGTTATGGGTGCTGGACTCCCACATGGCCGACCACGGTTTGAGTCACGGACCTGGCAGCTTGCTCTTTGTCCCTTTCTGGTCAAACTAAAATAAATGAAATTAAATAAAATAATATATTTTTAAAAGAGTTATTTAATTTTATTTGCCCATTTATTCATTTGACCAGAGAGGGACAGAGTGAGACAGACAGAGAGACAGAGAGAGAGGGAAGTGAGAAAGCAAGGCACCAGGTTCAGGACTTGAACTGTGGTTGGCCATGTGGGCGTCCAGCACCCTTAACCACCACACCATCTGCCGGCCCCCACATGGGTGTGTTTTAAAGCTCTGGAGAGTGACTCCAGCATGTGGCCAGGCTAAGACCATCAGGTGCAGCCAGAGCTGGTCTGATGAACTGTTCACGCCCTTGGTGGGCAGAGGAAGTTTGGCTTTCACCCATTCTCTCTTGGTCTCTGTGGACCTTGGGCTCACACAAGCCTGTTCAGCATTTCTCCTAACTCATTTAGAGTTTCCGGCCCTCCAAGGGGGCCTAGGAGTCAGGCATGTAGCGTCTTCAAGCTACCCAGGCAGCATTTAGCTCAGCCCTAGGTGCCCGAGTCTGGCTAAGGAAGGCTGCATTCTTCCCATCCTCCCCTGGCTGAGCTCTAAGCCTGTTGGCTATGAAGCCCCATGGCTGCTCCCACCCGAGGGCTCTGCCCTGCTGCTTCCCAGCTCCGCAGACTCGCTCTCCCACCTGGCAATGCGCTCCAGTCTGGCTATTGCCGGCACCTGAACGTTGCACAGGGCGTTCAGCCAGCCCAGACCAAGGATGAGAGGTAGCTCGCCACCTTTTCTCCAAGATCCAATAGGCCCCTGGGCTCAGCCTCGTCTTCTCCCAGCCATCCGACCAGGCCCCATGTTCACGCGTCGCCTCTGTCCCCACTCACGTGTTGGCACCACCAGTGGCAGTCACTGTGCGTCGTGGCCCCAGCACCAGCAGCGGCTCCAGGCAGCGGGCGAACTCCGCTCGGTGGTCGCTGGTGATCTGGAGGGCGGGATCCGGTCGTCAGGTGGACTTCACTGCCTTGCAGAGCCCTGACCTTGGCCCACCCGGGTGCCCCGCACCTTGCTGCTCTGTGCTGGCCTTAAGCGATGTGGCCTTGTCACAATGCCCTGCAGCCTTTCCATAAGCTCCTGTGGCAGCAGGGGAGGGTCTTAGGCCCGTAGGGATGTGGAATCCAGGGGTCAGGAAGAAGGGAGATGGAGGTTGGTAGGTCCCAGAGCAAGTCTGCTGGTGTCCTTTAGAGGCTGCACCCCACCCCACCCCCACATCCATAGGAAAGGAGATGATCCAGTAGACATGCTTCACTGTAGGTGACTGGGCTTCACTGTCCCTTGAAAAGCGACTCACCTGGCCCCTAAGCCTTTGCAGATGATGAAGTAGAAGAGGACAGGAGAAGCCCAGAGACCTCTGGTCCAGCCTCCAGGTGACAGGCTGCCAAGCCTTATGGGGGTGGTGTGTGGATGTGGTGAGGGGAGAGGAGGGGAGCTCCTATGGGAAGGGGGGGGGGTGACCCATGAAAAAACTCACGTAGCCCAGATCCAGGAACTCAGCCTTGTTGGCCAAGCTGAGGAAGGATGAGCAGATGACCAGGTGAACCTGTAGGGGGTGAGAGAAACTGCTCAGTGCCTAGTCAGGGAGGAGGGGCTCTGCTGGTGCCAAGCCCTGTCCCCTCAGCTCCCCTTACCTGCAGGGTGGGCAGCAAGTTGGCCAAGTGGGAGAGCTGCTCCTTGAAGGCCTTGTCCTTCTCTTCATACTGGCTGAGGTGGGAGGGGCAGGCTGCCTGGTCTCCAAGGAGAGGGCTGCCCACTCTACCCGGGGGCAGGGCACTCAGAACCTGCTGCCCCATTTCCCCACCAGCTTTGTGGAGCCTTCCCTGTCATGTCCTTGCAGCCTGGGCCAACATGCCCTCCTCCGCTGGGAGGACACCTGAGTGCCTTGCTCCCTAGAGTGGAGCAGAGGGACCTAGGCTATGATGGAGGTGTCTGGAGGCCAAGGAGCAAACTAAGTGGCAGGGAGACCCACCATCACTCACCTCTGCACAGTCTGCAGCAGCAGCACTTTCCTCTCTGCAAGTTTGTCCTGGGAGAGACAGCCTGCTACTGACCAGGCATAGCCAGCCCTGCCAACTGTCATCAGGTGCCCACTCCTCTGGGGCAGCAGCCACAGGCTGGCCAGGCCGG